GATCTACAAATCAGATTTCGAGGATCAGGTGTAACGTAGCACGATCAAAACAAACGTTCGTTTTGTCAAAAATCCTTTTTTCTCAAAAATCTGCATAATAACCACCTTTAGTGCTCTAACAAAAAGTTTTTCTTGCGCGATTTTAACCTCTTAGTTTTTAACTATCTACGAAACGAAGTCAATTGTCTTCAAACAAAAAATTCACTTACGTTAGTGTTCGGGCATATGTTAGGATTAGAAAGGGTGTCCTTATAGTAAAATTGCACGAGGAAATTTTTTTATTAGAACCCAAAAGGTGATTTACTAGTATAATTTTTTGAGATAAACGCTATTTTTGCAAAGTGAACGTTTGTTTTGAAATTTTTTTACGTTACACGTGATCCTGATTTTTGATTGGCTAATTGATCTCGGAAATCACGTTAACGGAAAATCGATTCTCTGCCCTATACATGTGTGCCTAAATTATTTTTGAAAAAATGTATTTTCGGCAAACATTTTAGTATTGCTAAATTTTTTATATGAAACCCTCCAAAATAAATATACTATATTATGTGTTATGATCAAAAGATTTTAAAAAATTTCGGCACTATATGAGACTAATTTCGGCAGCCTAAATGCCGTAATTACTTTTTTATTAAGAAGGGCAATTTAGGCACACATGTATACCTCTGCCCTGGTGTTGTCCAAGAAATGCGATTTGTATTTGTCATATCGTAATATTCTTTTAATATCATTCTGGCCGTAATGAATTACTGATCCTGATAGATCGTATCCTGTTTGAAACGTTCGTATTCCTGGATCCAACGCAATGATCCCATCATTCGATCCAATTCGATTTGTACACAAAAGACCATCGTCCCAATTAATCGTAAGTAATCTTGATATCATATTTTATATTTGTTAAATTTTCGTTTTTGATTATTTTCTTTAAAAACGAATAAAGTCAGACCTCCCTAAGTGCACACCTTCTCTAAATGCACACTCAGATTTTGGACCAAATATATGCTTGACCCCTATAAATGCAAATTTTCTTATTCTTCTATAACATCAGGAAATTTTTTAAGCTGATAAGTAACGATCACTAACAATTAATTGATTATTATCAATTAAATTTAATCGATAATAATCAACGGTGGTGTTGAAATCAAATTGATAATAATTGATTACATATACAAAAAATTAATTAAAAAGATATAAAATGATTAAACTAAATAGATTATAATCAATATATTTTTATTCAAAAATTTTAAATCACACCTAGGTGTTCAACACCAGTCATATGAAATCCGTGTAACATGTAGATTAAAATAATTTTTATCAAAACAAAAATTAAATTTTGTTTAATATTAGGGTTATGGTTGAGGTCTGGGATGGGACATGGGCATAGCTTATACCAAAATTTTGCAATGAGCCCCAAAGGTAGTTTCATAGATGAATTTTTGAGTTATGCCCATTTTTTAATAATTTTTGTGTTACATCTGATCTTCACATAGTGGTGTTGAACACCAGTGGTGTGATTTGACAATGCCGTTTTTATTTATTATCATTTATAATCGATAAAAATCTGCTTCAATTTTAATCGACGGTGTTGATGAAAATCGTTTAAAATCCTTAGATTTAATCGATTCTAATTGGCTTTTAAAATTTCCTGATGAAATGCACGTTGTCCCAAGGGCGTGCACTTAGAGTAATGTTGTTAGCCGAATTGTTTTGAGCTTGTAGAAATATTTCGACATTTGATATTTAGTCTGCCGAAATTCTAAAATAATGCGAAATGTCTAAATAATGTCGAAATGTCAATTAAAAAAATATAAACCTATGTATTCGAACTTGTTTATTTTGATCTAAAACCGGTTGCTTGTCCCTATCAAGCAGGTTTAAAAATATCGTTTGCCACTGCCTACATTATCCAGGGTCTTATTCAAGAATTCCACTTTTAAAATTGAATAGTACTTATGGGTACTGTATGAAGAACCGGGTATTATATTTGGGTATATTTCATATTAACGTTAAAAGTGGTAAAATTATTAAAATTATACCCCGGCTCTTATCAAGTAACAGACCAGTAGGGATGGTGAATAATATTTGGGTCTTAATCATGAGAGGTATTAATTTTGAAGGATATTATAGGATGGCCAACGGTATATACTTTTCTAAACGATATCTGCTTGAAAATTTTATGCATACTTTTTTCACATGGTACTCACTATTTTAAATGTTTATAACCTGGATCTGAATTAATATCAATTCAAAAATCAACTACGTAAACTGCCGTATAAAAGACCCGGGTCTCTTACATTCCACCAAAAAAATTAATTAGTAAAAAAAAGAAAATAATTAGTAAAAAATGAGGGTGGGTCTGATATATGGGGGGATCTTGTGTACGGCAGTTTACGGTACTTTTAATGTACAAGCCCTCTCTCTGTTATTAATTTAGACATTTAGTCATATAGTATTTATTTAGTCAATTATTTAGACATTTAGTCAAATTTAGAATTTTGACATTTCGACAAAAAATAATGTCATGTCAAAATATATTTTGCCGAAATACCCTATTTAGTCAAATATTTAGACAATTATGTGTAGAAACAATATTGACTTAGAGAGTGTCAGGAAATTTTGAAACCCAATTATAATCGGTTGCAAGTAGCTAATCGATTATAATCGATATTTCAAGCGATAATTATCGCCGGTGGTGTTGATAATCGATTTATTGCGGTTTGCAAAATTATGTGAAATTTGATCATTAAAAAAAAATGCAATCCCTAATTTCCGATGACTGATTTTCGATTTCTTTAACATTTTTTTGGACTTTTAGACTAGACAAAATTTGCGCATTAAAATTTGATTGAATATTTTAATGCGCAACTCCTATTTCAGCAAAATGATGAATATGCAACTTTTATTTCTATAAAATAATAGTGCGCAAATTTTGTCTAGTCTAAAAGTCAAAAAAAAAAAAAAGTTGAAATAAATCAGTATTCAGAATCATTGATTACTTTTTTTTTTAATGATCACATAATTTTGCAAACCAATCGTCGATTATTATTATTTTTTTTTTGATCTGCAAAATTTACAAAATTTTGCAAACCGCAATAAATCGATTATCAACATCACCGACGATAGTAATTATCGATTAGAATCGATTAGCTACTTGAATGGTTTCAAAATTTCCTGATGTTGTCCTTCGTATCAGTTTAATCCCTTGCTTGGATTGACATCGGTTGTGAGAAATTTTTTTTTTTTGATCTTTTTGTTTTTACAGGTCTGTCTTGTTATTATATAGAGTCTCTACTACCTGGTGTTTTTGATTGTTTACACACTTTTCGCGTAACGATTTCTTGTTGATCTCGCAGATTCCTTCTTTGACGAAATTCAGACATCGATTATAAGTCCATCGTACTGTATTCATCCATCTTTTCAGGATGGTTTGTTTTTCGTGTGTTAGAAATACACGAATTTCTCTGATTTTCAAAGTCTTTTCATCATCGTTTGAATCTTATTCAGCTTTATTTTCTTTCAAGGAATCCAACCATTCGATATCATTTTTTAAAACATTTCTCCGTTCAAGAAATTAAACCACGAACTCGAATGTTTTTCTGACTCTCAACATCGATGGGATGATGAATTTGTCGATATTTTCTCACGCATCATTCCAGAATGGTATGATGCCATCATTTGTTTCTCGTTTACGTTTCATGAAGAACTTGAACCATCACGAATACCGATATTTATAATTGTTTGAGAATGCTGTATAATGTAAAGTTCTGTTTTATTACATCATACGGCATTCTCAAAGGCAAGAAATCAAATACAATACTCGCTAAATTGAAAATATAATTATTAATCAATTGAATATAGATATTACAAATAAGTAAAAATATTTTAATTTTACGAACCGTAAATTATACACCCGATTGATAGCATATCTGTATGGCGCATGCAATTTTAATTTTGGCTGTAGGCATTTGATCCAACCGTTTCACCACATGAATCTGTACCATGCGAATAAATTTGTGTACGTTTCACATGATTTTTTACTATATAAACAAACTTTTTAATTTTGCGTGTTCAAATATGCAGTAATCTTGAAGGTTTAGGATTTAGATTGTGTGAAGATTTTTAACTTATACAACAATAGAAAAATATTATTAATATTTCTTTGTTGTAAGAACCATTTTATTCCTCACTCAAATATCAATATTTAATTCTATATTTAATTCTAACATTGGTTTTTATATATTATAATTTCTCGAAAAGTTCACATAATGCCACCACCATTAGGAGAACATGTAACTCATATATTATTAGCAGAATTCGATATCGATAAAGGTTCTTCTCTTGCACATCAATATCCTGAGCCCACCGGTACGGATGAGCAGTAAGTTTTTCCTCTTTAAATTATTAATTCTTCGATTCACAATTTAAAATTTTATTAATTTAATTTAGTCTATTGGCGGAGTTAATGTTACCAGATGGTGCTCATTTACGTACCGAAGATTGGACTGTGTTCTTTTTAAACCAATCTGTACCAGATCCTGATAAAATTTCAATTAATCTAATACCTGATCGTTCGTCAGACAATGAGACTCCATTATTGTATGCATTGAATTTAGTTAGAACTAGGCATGACAAAGAAGCTAGAAGGTGTGCTATTTTTACTTGTACTTGTGGGGGTGTTTAATGCCTGTTTAAATTTGTATAAATTATTGTTTTTTCTTGTAGTAATGTCAATTTTGCTTTTTAGAGGTGCTGTAGTGAAAGCCATGGCAATTTGTACTAGGCATCAATATTTACATATTTACAAGGTTGTATTTTATTTATTTTTCTCGATTCTTATGTTAAATTTAATGCTTTTATTAATATAAAGTTTTTTGTAATTAATATAGCCGGTTCTTTTATTAGCGCTTGACAATTATTTTCAAGATCCATCAATAGAATGTCTTGCATCTCTCTATCAAGCTGTTAATTCAATGGATTGTAAGTTGATGCCAATATTTAATGCACATGAAAAAGCTATTTTACGTGCATCAGAGAACAAAGATATGTTTGAAGAAAAATTTGTAGCATATGAAAACAGCAGAAAACATATTCAAGAAGGTTCTACAATCTCGTTGAACGAACAATTATCTGACGATAGTTCAGGTAAAGGGTTAGGAATTATTAATGAAAATAGTGAAAGTTTTGGGAGTGGTGATTATGTTATTGTTAGTGAAGAGGAGAGAGAAAAATTGAAGCGAGGAACCTACATTGATTTGGCTCCAAATTTGAGTAAAAATAAGGATAGACATTTCTTTGAGACAAAAGTCGTGTATAATGGAATTAAGCTGCCTATAAGAGTGCCGTTAACCGTTAATCCTGAAGAAGTCGGTGATGTAAGTTATATGATATAATGTCGCAGATTATCATGAAATCGGATCATCGTGAAATTTGGGGGTTTCAATTTGAAAATATAAGCCCTACCAAAACCGCCTATACTCTAATTCTAACACTAAATCCTAACTAAAAAAAGAAGCCGACAAAAAAGGCCAAAAAATTTTAAAAATCATACATAAAATAGGGCCAAATTTCACGATGACGATAATATATATACTATATATACTGTATGTTGCTTTATTATAATTCCTATTATTAACTAATTATTTCAATTTATATTGTAATTTTCTTCAATTCATAATCTAATATATAATAGTTTTCACTGATTAAACTGATCACTACATTCAATCCAACATCACCGACTCCATTTAATCACCCATTTCATCCGCATTTGGATTCAAGCGGAAATCAAACTCAACCAATAATTTTGTTACTAAATGCTCTACTTACTCAGAAACGAATTATTTTCTTGGGTCAAGGACATCCGTCGGGTGAAGTTGCTGATTATGTGTTATCTGCATGTGCTATGGGAAGTGGAAGTGGTGGTGTTTTAAGAGGGTTTACGGAACGTGCATTTCCATACACCAATTTAACAAATGTTGATGATTTACTAAAAGTGTGAGAATTATTATTATTATTATTATTATTTATTTATTTTTATTTTTATTTATTTTTTATTTATTTTTGTTTTTTTTTACGAATAACTATTTTTGAGTTCTTAATAATCTCAACTTTTTAACTTTTTTCTATTTAGACCAGGATTTATAGCCGGAGTAACAAATAGAATTTTTGAGGATCATAGTACATGGTGGGATGTCCTATGCAATATTGACACTGGAAAAATTATTGTTAGTAAGGATATTGCAACTCCTTCATATGGAACTAAACCAGATGAAAAGCATGAAGAAGGTATGAGATCTCCTTCGAGCAAGACTGAATCTTGGGGGCGAGAAAAATGGGACACTACTGATAATGAATTTATGGCTGAAGTATAAATCTATTATTCAATTTTTTTTAATTCTATTATATACTTTATTTTTTTAAATGTTTTTCTTTGGCAATACTATTCATCAAATTTTTAGGTAATGCATGCAATTCAACATCATTACGGTGAAACAGCGATACGTGGTAAATTTCAAGAATATGTTCAACGTTTCGTACGGTTAACAGCTTTATATGAAGTGGAGACTTTTGGTTCAACTAAAATCGGAATGATGCCAGAGGATACGGATTTTCCAGGAATTCTCGGTACTGGACTAGCATTTCAGGATGAAAATTCAAAACATAGGGAACTTGCTGCTAACATTAATAGGATTGAAGGATGGAGGCAGACCATTAGTTACAAGTATTATCAGTTGGTAAGAATTTTGTGTGGGCTGAAAGAAATTATTGTTCGGTTATTCAATGCATTTCTTTATTCATTCCAGCATTTATTTTATCTTCCTATTTTATATTATTCAGGATTTCCAAAATTATTTGAAAACACGAAACATAAAATCTTTTGATGTACATCATCAAGTATCAAAATTAAAAATGTTAAAAAATATGCCTGAACAAGAAGTTGAAACTTTATTTAAAGCCTTTGTTAATAGCGTTTCCACTGATGAACAAATTATTGAGGTAAAATTCTTTAAACATAATTACTATTAAGTATTGTTTCAATTTTGTTTTCACTAATCTTTAAAATATTTATACTTTTTCAAAGTTCTTGTCATTTTTGCCACAAAATCAAGGGGGTTTGTTTCCAATTGGAATGGGACTATTTTATCCACTTAAGACCGTAAGAGATAATACAATTGAATTGTTTAATAGGCTTAATAGTCATGCCGTAAGTTCATATAAATATTTTTTCTTAAATTTTAAGCTCTTTAAACACATATTAACTAACCCTTTATTATAATAGACTGGAAGTAAATTCATACAAAGTTTAAATAGTTTTCAAAAACTTGCTTACGATAGGCAATTTAATCGGAAGCGGGAGAGACAGCAACAATTAGAATTCGCTAATAAGCTTGCTTGTTCACATGATTCTAATGATTCTAATTTGGATTTTATGGATTTTTGATATAGTTGTTTTGTGATAGAATATTATTTATTTATTGAGACTTGATTTGATTTTTGGTTAGAGTAATTAATATTTTTTGTTTTAGTAAAATGTTTTAATTTAATTAAAATAAGTTATATAGAAAGTTTTGGATTATGAATTTTGGATAATTATATATATATATATATTAGCTTGTATCATTAAACATTATACATATATTTATTTTAAGTTACAGTATATTAATCTTAATAGTTCAAATGTAACATTTTAAATGTCACAATTTTGTTGTAATTATTATATTATAAAAATTTCGTCACATACATCGAGTAAAATAAAATTGCTAATTCGTTTATTTATATGCAATAAATATTAAATACGTTTAATGTATTAAATAAAAGTGTTCTACTTATTTTTTTGTTTGATATTAATAATAACAAAATTATTGAAATTTTCTTACTGCTTTAATTAATACAAATTGTTCATCCTAATTCAGATATTATCAATATTCCAGTAGACAATATGACCTTCATAACCTTGTTTATCCAATTAATATTTGTTATTTGATCTATATCATTTTTATAACTTG